ACGGGCCCGAGTAGGAGTGGGCAAGGATAAGCCCACTCGGGATCTCTCCCTTCTGGAACGGTACAGCTCTCTCGATAAGCTCTTAGGAGTGACTGCTTGGCTGCGCCGCTTTGTCCACAATTCGAGAGATCCGTCCAACCGACTCTCTGATTGCGTTTTGTCCCCTAGCGAGCGTCGGGAAGCCCTGATGCATTGGATCCGTATGGTCCAGACGGAGCATTTTGAGCCCGTTATCGAACACTTGAAGCGTGGCTCCGTTATCAAGGGCGCTCTGGCCCGCCTGAACCTCTTTCTGGACGACGCTGGGATGCTGCGCGTGGGCGGACGTTTGAAAAACTCTCAACTGCCGTGCGGGGCTCGACACCCGTTGCTGCTCCCTAAGGACGGCGCCCTTGTCCGGTTGCTGGTAACCCACCACCATGTTAGGAATGCCCACGCTGGGTGTAACGCCCTGTCGGCTATTTTGCAGCGGGAGTTTTGGATTTTGTCTGGTCGTCGCACCATTCGGAGCGTCATCTTTAAGTGCATCCCCTGTTATAAACTGAAGGCCCCCATATCGCAGCCTCTTATGGGTGACTTGCCGCCCGACCGCGTCAGGGCCATCCGACCATTCGCTGGGGTCGGAACAGACTTCGCTGGCCCCTTCCTCGTCAAGTCCTCTAACCTTCGTAACGCGCGTTCATGTAAGGCCTATCTTTGCGTCTTCGTGTGCCTCTCCACTAAAGCCGTTCACTTGGAACTGGTGAGCGCCCTCAGCACGGAAGCCTTCTTGGCCACGCTTGGCCGTTTCGTGTCGCGGCGCGGCTTGCCGGACTTGATCCGGTCTGACTGCGGGACGAATTATAAGGGCACGGATAGGTATCTCAAGGAGGTTGTCGAATTTCTGTCCAGCCACCGGACTTATTTAGGAAATGCTATGTCGAAAAGGGGCATCCAGTGGAAATTCGACCCTCCGGCGTGTCCCCACTGGGGCGGTATTTTCGAGGCGGTGGTTAAGGTTGCCAAAACGCATCTCCGTCGCGTTATTGGTGAAGCCATTTTGACGTTTGAGGAGCTCGCCACTGTATTCTGTAAAATTGAGGCGGTACTCAACTCTCGGCCCCTCTGTCCCCTCTCCTCTGACCCGAATGATTTGGAGGTTCTAACCCCGGGACACTTCCTGATTGGCCAGCCTCTTAACGCTCTGCCCGAGTATCCCTTCAGGGAAACGAGTGCTTCACGGCTTAGCAGGTTTGCCCTGCTGCAACAGATGACTCAACGGTTTTGGCACCGATGGTCTCTGGAGTACCTACATCTTTTGCAGCAGCGCGTTAAGTGGTCTGACAAGACGGAGCCTCCTCGGGTGGGAGACCTCGTGTTGATTAAAGAACCAAACGCGCTACCTTTGTATTGGCGCCGTGGGCGCATTGTTAAATTGTCGTATGGAACGGATGGGGTGCCTAGAGTGGCCGAGGTTTTGGTCGGAGATTCGGTCTTGCAACGGGCCGTCGCGACCTTGTCCCGTTTGCCAATCTACTCGCGGACTTAATGCCTTATGTCCGGGGCGGGGGGCTGTCTAGGCAGGAAAATTTGCAATAAAAACGCAGTATTTAACGCGCGCTTTTGGCCTCGATATCAAGGGCACCTTCCCTCTCCCCCGCCCCCCCGGCCGCCGGACGGGTCGGCGTGGCTCTTCTCGCGAGGTAGTAGGATTTTTCTTGCGAACTATACGGACGTATTTTTTCGCGCCTAAACTTGCTAAAGGAACAATCCGCGTAAATCGTTGCAATAACGGTATCGTTATTAGAACGTACTAACTCGGTGAAATTCGCGCGCAACTATCAAAGTGATTTACATCTGAAGGACTACCAGAGTAGCCGTTCCATTTGGTGACAACCTCTTACGAGTGCCTCCAGAAGGGTGAAGTTCCGGGGATACCAGCGCGTGCCTTCTCCCGGACGTCGTCGAGTCATCCAGATCGGTTCCCGTCAACATACCAGCACACACAATTACACCTACACTCACAACACCGCACACACCAAGCACAACTTTCATCAGCCGGGCCGGTCGAGGAGAACCGTCTGCGCTCCTGGGGCAGGTAAGTGCATTTATTCTAGTGACCTTTCCCCTCGTGTGTTCATTAGAAACCTTTGACCCTCGGCGTAGAAACGCCCGACCTGCATCTGCCCGTGGCTCCTTCGTCTATGGGCCGCGAAGGATCCAACTCCTGTTGAGGCAGGGCAGCTGTTGGCCGTAACACCCAATATACGGTGTTAATGGGAGACTTCAATGCAAAACTAGGCACAAGAGAGAACGGTGAGCTGAAAGTAGGGAAATTTGGAATAGGGCAACGGAACCCAAGGGGCCAGCAGCTGGCCGACTTCATGGAGAAAGAGGGACTCTTTATGATGAACTCTTTCTTCCAGAAGCGGCCCCACAGGAAGTGGACCTGGTCGAGCCCCGACGGTTCGACAAAAAATGAGATTGACTTCATTATGACGACCAGACGACAACTGTTCAGTGATGTCTCCGTGATCGCAAGGGTGAAAACTGGTAGCGATCACCGAATGGTTAGAGGCACACTGAACCTAAACGTTAAGTTGGAGAGGTCTCGTCTAATGAAGTCAACGCTCCGTCCCCCTCGTGCTCTAATCCAAAATCCCGAAACCTTTCAGCTCGAGTTACAAAACCGTTTTCAGTGCCTAGAAGACTGCAATGAAGTGGACGATATGAATGACAAGCTCGTGGAAACTGTCCATGCGGTCGGAGCTAAGTTCTGCAAGACCCGCCGCAGAAGAACACAAAAACTCTCCGATCACACTCTTAATCTCATGGCTGTTAGACGGGAGATGAAGCTACATTCTTCAACAGACTTGACAGCATACAGGCATCTGAACAGACAGATCTCAAAATGCATGCGGCGGGACTTACGCAACTTCAATACAGCTCGTATTGAAGAAGCGATCGAGCGGAACCAAGGCTCCAAAGTCTTTGTCAGAGATCTGTCTGCCAGAAAGAGCCAACTGTCAAAGCTGAAGACAGAATGTGGCAGCATCGTTTCCGGGACACCTGAGATTTTGAGTGAGATTGAGAGGTTCTATGGGCAGCTGTACACGTCATCGTTGGAGCCACACGCAAGTGTGAGTAACGATCCAAGAGCGAGTCTCATCCGACACTATTCCGAAGATATCCCGGACGTCAGTCTGAGCGAGATTAGAATGGCTCTCCAGCACCTTAAAAACGGTAAGGCCCCAGGCGAGGATGGAATTACAGCGGAGCTTCTGAAAGCGGGTGGAAGACCGGTACTTGAAGTCCTTCAGAAGCTCTTTAATTCCGTCCTCCATGGTGGCATTACACCGGAGGCGTGGAGCAGAAGTGCGATGGTCTTGTTCTTCAAGAAAGGTGACAACGCTCTCTTGAAGAACTACAGACCGATTTCCCTTCTGAGCCGCGTCTACGTGCTGTTTTCGAGAGTCATTACGAATCGTCTCGCGCGCAGACTTGACGACTTCCTGCCTCCCGAACAAGCCGGTTTCCGAAAGGGCTTTAGCACCATAGACCACATACATACCCTTCGCCAAGTTGTACAGAAGTCCGAAGAGTACAATTTGCCACTATGTCTGGCGTATGTGGACTTTGAGAAAGCCTTTGATTCCGTCGAAATTTGGGCGGTGCTGCAGTCCCTTCAGCGGTGCCAAGTTGACTGTCGGTATATCGAAGTGTTGAAGTGCTTGTACAGTAGGGCTACGATGGCTATCCGAGTACAGAACCAGAGTACGAAACCTATCCAATTGCAGAGAGGTGTAAGACAGGGTGACGTCATATCCCCGAAACTCTTCACCGCTGCATTGGAAGACGTTTTCAAGCTTCTGGACTGGAAAGGGTACGGTATCAACATCAATGGCGAGTACATCACTCACCTTCGATTTGCCGACGATATAGTCCTTATGGCAGAATCGCTGGAGGGCCTAAGCACTATGCTCAATGACCTCAATAGTGTTTCCCAACGGATAGGTCTTAAGATGAACATGGACAAAACAAAGATTATGTTTAATGTCCATGTCACACCTATGCCGGTAGTTGTTGGGAGCACTAAGCTCGAAGTTGTTGACGAGTATGTTTACCTGGGACAAATAGTCCGACTAGGTAAGTCCAACTTCGACCGAGAGGTCAATCGACGGATTCAACTCGGCTGGGCAGCGTTCGGGAAGCTACGACACATCTTCTCGTCAGACATACCTCAAAACCTTAAAACGAAATTGTACAACCAGTGCGTGTTGCCAGTGATGACTTACGGAACTGAGACGTGGTCCTTCACTGCTGGCCGTATGAGGAAGCTCAAGGTCGCTCAGCGAGCTATGGAGAGGGCTATGCTCGGAGTTTCTCTGCGTGATAAACTTAGGAATGACGATATCCGCAGTAGAACCAGAATAACCGACATAGCCCAACGAATTAGTAAGCTGAAGTGGCAGTGGGCCGGCCATATAGCTCGAAGAACCGACAACCGATGGGGAAGAAAGGTTCTCGAGTGGCAGCCTCGTACCGGTAGGCGAAGTGTAGGGCGTCCCCCCACGAGATGGAGTGACGACCTGGTAAGACATGCAGGAAGTCGATGGATGCAGGTGGCTCAGGACCGTGCTTTGTGGCATTCTTTGGGGAAGGCCTATGTTCAGCAGTGGACTTGTGAAGGGCTGTAATGATGAATAATCAAAAAGCAGATGCGTTGTCACTCCTGAGGACTGAGATGGAATGCTTCGTGTGCAGTAAAAAGGCTGTCCGGTTCTCTACACTCACCATACGAAATACAGCAGCATTGAGATGCTATTAAGGCTGGTAATCTGGGAGAGCGTGACCCTTCCCAATTGAAGCCGACCCATTCGAGATACAACCGTTATATAGTTGTAGCGTGGCTCTACCAAGTAAAATTTACATTAATATTCTGATTGGGATTTTGTTGTAAAAGAGATGTTGATCGATTAATAGTATGAGTACACGTGTTACACATGTTTCGTGATACGTACCTGCGTGAGGTCGTTGTAGAACTTGACACCTTCCTTGAGGTTGGCGGTGAGGTCCTGGTAGGCGTCGTACGCGGCGCACAGCCGGCCCAGCGCCGCCTCGCGCCCGCTCGCCTCCCCGCCGCGCCCCGCCCACAGCAAAGAGTGCGCGCGCTGCACACACACGGCACTGCGTGAGTACCACGGAATCGCATTCGCACACACACATACACACGTCACTGCGTGAGTACCACGCACTCGCACTCGCACACACACACACACACACGTCACTGCGTGAGTACCACGCACTCGCACTCGCGCACACACACACACACACACACACACACACACACACACACACACACACACACACACACACAAACACACACACACACACACACACACACGTCACTGCGTGAATACCACGCACTCGCACTCGCACACACACACACACACACACACACACGCACACACACACACACACGTCACTGCGTGAGTACCACGCACTCGCACTCGCGCGCGTGCACACACACACACACACACACACACACACACACAAGTCACTGCGTGAATACCACGCACTCGCACTCGCACACACACACACACACACACACACACGTCACTGCGTGAGTACCACGCACTCGCACTCGCACACACACACACACACATACACGTCACTGCGTGAGTACCACGCAATCGCACACGCACTCGCACACACACACAAACACACACTCACACACGTCACTGCGTGAGTACCACGCAGTCGCACTCGCACACTTACACACACACTTCACTGCGTGAGTACCACGCACTCGCACTCGCAATCGCGCACACACACACACGTCACTGCGTGAGTACCACGCACTCGCACATACACACACACACACACACACACACACACACGTCACTACGTGAGTACCACGCACACGCACTCGCACACACACACACACACGTCACTGCGTGAGTACCACACACTCGCACTCGCAATCGCGCACACACACACACGTCACTGCGTGAGTACCACGCACTCGCACATACACACACACACACACACACACACACACACACGTCACTACGTGAGTACCACGCACACGCACTCGCACACACACACACACACGTCACTGCGTGAGTACCACACACTCGCACTCGCACTCCCACACACACACGTCACTGCGTGAGTACCACGCACTCGCAATCGCACACACACGTCACTGCGTGAGTACCACGCACTCGCACTCGCACTCGCACACACACACACACACACACACACACACACACACACACACACACACGTCACTGCGTGAGTCCCACGCACTCGTACTCGCACACACACCACGTACACGGACGTAAATAATAAAGTATCATCTTTAGTCTCTTATTTTGTAGCGAACTTATGATAAGCTGCAAGTTATAAAAAACAATATTAAGGATTAGATAATTGCCGTGTACGTACTTACTGTACGTGGCACGCACCTGTATGTCCGCGACGAGTGCCTCCTGGCGCTGCAGCGTGTCGGCGACGCGGCGCTGCAGCGGCTGCAGCGCTGCGCCCAGTGCTGCGGCGGAGTGCGCCGGCTCGTCCAGCGCACCGTCGGCCGCCAGCGCCGACAGGAACTTCTCGCGCAGGTCCACCGTTACGTCCTTCAGCTCCGCCTCGATGGCGTCGCGCTCTGCCTTCATCGTCTCCACCTGGACTCGACACAAGCAATATGCTACGGTTCATTTTTTATAATATTACGTTTTTTTATCTTTCTAATGTAATATTTACCAAAATTTTTAGAACAAACACTATAATCTAATTGTGTAGTTGCAGTCTAAGAAATAAATAATAAAAGTTTATTGTTTCCGACATATATTTAAATTAGTACAAGTTTGATGACTTCTTTTAAGTATAAAGATACTTGTGGTAGAAGGTCCTCGCCCTCCCTCAATTAAGTACATTCAACAAAAAAGATACAGGATATGTGTGTGTGTGTGTGTGTGTGTGTGTGTGTGTGTTTGTTTGTGTTTGTGTATGTGCGTGCGTGTGTGCGTGTGTGCGTATGCGGACGTGTTTGTGTGCATGCATACCTGGTCCATGAGTGTGCGCAGCTCGGCTCTTGCCGCCGCGTCGCCGGCGGGCGCGGCGGCGTCGGGCGCGGCGGGCACGCCGGCCTGCAGCTCGCCCTCGCTGCTGCTCAGCAGCGCGATGTTCTGCAACGCACCCACCACTTATCATGTACCATGCTCACCAGTGCTACAGCCACGCTGCAGCTACATTATGACTGCAGCACGAATGGCTCGGCTCAACCGAAGTAATACCACACTCTCACAGAATACCACTGTAAAGTACCAGCTTAATGCTGCTGTGTTTCGCATAGTGAGTGTAAAAAACGGGAGACCCTTTTTACTTGAAACGAGGCATTCCATCTTAGTCCTCACGGGTGACACGCATCTGCAATTTGATTCTAAATTGAAAATAAATATAGATGTCTATGAGACACAGCATCCACTTACCATCATGTGAACTGTATACTCGTTTTAACCCTTTCACCGTCCCATTCAGAAACCGATTGATTAGATATACTGATTAAAGGAATTGTCACATGGTAAAATAAAAATAATATGAAAGTAAATGTAGACAAAACTAAATTTTTGCAGTCCAACTCTGTTTAATTAATACCTGAAAAACCGTGCATTAAATACAACGATGTACCATGGAGAGAATTAGAGTACCAGCGGAAATAAATGTTTCGTGGTAAATAGTTAGAAAAATATTGTGATTGAAAACGGCACGATGGAGAAGTTTGTGATAAATTAAACTGATTAAACCTTTTCATTACGTTACATAAGAGAGATTTCGTCACTGCAAGTAGCACAAAAAGCTTATTATGGCTATATTGCATCTACCTTATAATATGATCCAAGGTTTTACAAAATTGTTACAGATTTAAAGATTTTAAAATAATTGTCGTTACAAAGGACATCGAAGTGTGCATTAGTAGTATAGAGTACGTACGTCCTTGTGCTGCAGGAACTTCTGCTGCACGATGGAGTCTGCGCGCACGGCGTTGTCGATGATCTGCGCGTACTTGGCGGCGTTGGCGCGGAACGACTCGGTGAGCGCGGCCGACTCGCTGCGGCTCCAGCGCGCCCGAACTGCATTAGTAGTGTGGAGTACGTACGTCCTTGTGCTGCTGGAACTTCTGCTGCACGATGGAGTCTGCGCGCACGGCGTTGTCGATGATCTGCGCGTACTTGGCGGCGTTGGCGCGGAACGACTCGGTGAGCGCGGCCGACTCGCTGCGGCTCCAGCGCGCCCGAACTGCATTAGTAGTGTGGAGTACGTACGTCCTTGTGCTGCTGGAACTTCTGCTGCACGATGGAGTCTGCGCGCACGGCGTTGTCGATGATCTGCGCGTACTTGGCGGCGTTGGCGCGGAACGACTCGGTGAGCGCGGCCGACTCGCTGCGGCTCCAGCGCGCCCGAACTGCATTAGTAGTGTGGAGTACGTACGTCCTTGTGCTGCTGGAACTTCTGCTGCACGATGGAGTCTGCGCGCACGGCGTTGTCGATGATCTGCGCGTACTTGGCGGCGTTGGCGCGGAACGACTCGGTGAGCGCGGCCGACTCGCTGCGGCTCCAGCGCGCCCGAACTGCATTAGTAGTGTGGAGTACGTACGTCCTTGTGCTGCTGGAACTTCTGCTGCACGATGGAGTCTGCGCGCACGGCGTTGTCGATGATCTGCGCGTACTTGGCGGCGTTGGCGCGGAACGACTCGGTGAGCGCGGCCGACTCGCTGCGGCTCCAGCGCGCCCGAACTGCATTAGTAGTGTGGAGTACGTACGTCCTTGTGCTGCTGGAACTTCTGCTGCACGATGGAGTCTGCGCGCACGGCGTTGTCGATGATCTGCGCGTACTTGGCGGCGTTGGCGCGGAACGACTCGGTGAGCGCGGCCGACTCGCTGCGGCTCCAGCGCGCCCGAACTGCATTAGTAGTGTGGAGTACGTACGTCCTTGTGCTGCTGGAACTTCTGCTGCACGATGGAGTCTGCGCGCACGGCGTTGTCGATGATCTGCGCGTACTTGGCGGCGTTGGCGCGGAACGACTCGGTGAGCGCGGCCGACTCGCTGCGGCTCCAGCGCGCCCGAACTGCATTAGTAGTGTGGAGTACGTACGTCCTTGTGCTGCTGGAACTTCTGCTGCACGATGGAGTCTGCGCGCACGGCGTTGTCGATGATCTGCGCGTACTTGGCGGCGTTGGCGCGGAACGACTCGGTGAGCGCGGCCGACTCGCTGCGGCTCCAGCGCGCCCGAACTGCATTAGTAGTGTGGAGTACGTACGTCCTTGTGCTGCTGGAACTTCTGCTGCACGATGGAGTCTGCGCGCACGGCGTTGTCGATGATCTGCGCGTACTTGGCGGCGTTGGCGCGGAACGACTCGGTGAGCGCGGCCGACTCGCTGCGGCTCCAGCGCGCCCGAACTGCATTAGTAGTGTGGAGTACGTACGTCCTTGTGCTGCTGGAACTTCTGCTGCACGATGGAGTCTGCGCGCACGGCGTTGTCGATGATCTGCGCGTACTTGGCGGCGTTGGCGCGGAACGACTCGGTGAGCGCGGCCGACTCGCTGCGGCTCCAGCGCGCCCCGAACTGCGCGCGCAGAGACTCGTCCGCCTCGCGCTCCTCGCGCAGCATCCGCTCAGTCTGCGTACACGAAAATACAACTTATATGGGCGTGGATCGTGAAACATTCTAGATTACAATAATTTAATCAGCTCGAATGATACGAATATACTTTAAATATCTTAAATAACACAAATTAAATAAATAAAAAAATATACAATACTAAATTTTAAATATCCGTGTAGTGGCGGTTAAGAATATCCACTACCCCATATCTTCCCGTGGGTGTCGTAAAAGGCGACAAAGGGAAACAGGCAGGAGATGGGCAGCAGCATCTTCCTGATAATAGCCAAAATAACAATAAAAAACTGCGGTTGCCAACCCGCTCGCCAAGCGTGGCAACTATGGCAATATACCCCCCATGAGCAATGACAGTTCTGCAAGACCCGCCGCAGAAGAACACAAAAACTCTCCGATCACACTCTTAATCTCATGGCTGTTAGACGGGAGATGAAGCTACATTCTTCAACAGATTTAACAGCATACAGGCAACTGAACAGACAGATCTCCAAATGCATGCGGCGGGACTTACGCAAATTCAATACAGCTCGTATTGAAGAAGCGATCGAGCGGAACCGAGGCTCCAAAGTCTTTGCCAGAGATCTGTCTGCCAGAAAGCGCCAACTGTCAAAGCTGAAGACAGAATGTGGCAGCATTGTTTCCGGGGCACCTGAGATTTTGAGTGAGATTGAGAGGTTCTATGGGCAGCTGTACACGTCATCGTTGGAGCCGCACGCAAGTGTGAGTAACGATCCAAGAGCGAGTCTTATCCGACATTATTCCGATGATATCCCGGACGTCAGTCTGAGCGAGATTAGAATGGCTCTCCAGCACCTTAAAAACGGCAAGGCCCCAGGCGAGGATGGAATTACAGCGGAGCTTCTGAAAGCGGGTGGAAAACCGGTACTTGAAGTCCTTCAGAAGCTCTTTAATTCCGTCCTCCATGGTGGCATTACACCGGAGGCGTGGAGCAGAAGTGCGGTGGTCTTGTTCTTCAAGAAAGGCGACAACGCTCTCTTGAAGAACTACAGACCGATTTCCCTTCTGAGCCGCGTCTACGTGCTGTTTTCGAGAGTCATTACGAATCGTCTCGCGCGCAGACTTGACGACTTCCAGCCTCCCGAACAAGCCGGTTTCCGAAAAGGCTTCAGCACCATAGACCACATACATACCCTTCGGCAAATTGTACAGAAGTCAGAGGAGTACAATTTGCCACTATGTCTGGCGTATGTGGACTATGAGAAAGCCTTTGATTCCGTCGAAATTTGGGCGGTGCTGCAGTCCCTTCAGCGATGCCAAGTTGACTGTCGGTATATCGAAGTGTTGAAGTGCTTGTACAGTAGGGCTACGATGGCTATCCGAGTACAGAACCAGAGTACGAAACCTATCCAATTGCAGAGAGGTGTAAGACAGGGTGACGTCATATCCCCGAAACTCTTTACCGCTGCATTGGAAGATGTTTTCAAGCTTCTGGACTGGAAAGGATACGGTATCAACATCAATGGCGAGTACATCACTCACCTTCGATTTGCCGATGATATAGTCCTTATGGCAGAATCGCTGGAGGGCCTAAGCACTATGCTCAATGACCTCAATAGTGTTTCCCAACGGATAGGTCTTAAGATGAACATGGACAAAACAAAGATCATGTTTAATGTCCATGTCACACCTATGCCGGTAGTTGTTGGGAACACTAAGCTCGAAGTTGTTGACGAGTATGTTTACCTGGGACAAATAGTCCGACTAGGTAAGTCCAACTTCGACCGAGAGGTCAATCGACGGATTCAACTCGGTTGGGCAGCGTTCGGGAAATTACGGCACATCTTCTCGTCAGGTATACCTCAAAACTTGAAAACGAGACTGTACACCCAGTGCGTGTTGCCAGTGATGACATACGGAACTGAGACGTGGTCCTTCACTGCTGGCCGGATGAGGAAGCTCAAGGTCGCTCAGCGAGCTATGGAGAGGGCTATGCTCGGAGTTTCTCTGCATGATAAACTCAGAAATGAGGATATCCGCAGTAGAACTAGAGTGACCGACATAGCCCAACGGATTAGTAAGCTGAAGTGGCAATGGGCCGGCCATATAGCTCGAAGAACCGACAACCGATGGGGAAGAAAGGTTCTCGAGTGGCAGCCTCGTACTGGTAGGCGAAGTGTAGGGCGTCCCCCCACTAGATGGAGTGACGACCTGGTAAGATATGCAGGAAGTCGATGGATGCAGGTGGCTCAGGACCGTGCTTTGTGGCATTCCTTGGGGGAGGCGTATGTTCAGCAGTGGACTTATGAAAGGCTGTAATGATGATGAAACTATATACAAAATTTATTTTAGAAACAGCTTGGAAGCGATCACCTCATTCCCAGGGGTTATTATCAACCATGTATTCATTTATACTATAATAACCCTTTTTAAACAGTTTCAACTTAACAAAACATTTAAACTTGCTAATATAGAGAGCCTGTACACTTTCCGGGAACTTATTGTAGTAGCGTATACATTGCCCCAAGAATGAATTACTGACTCTGTGGAGTGGAGAAACTGGTATCACTAGCTTGTGTTTGTTCCTAGACCGTGCTTTGTGGCATTCTTTGGGGGAGGCCTATGTTCAGCAGTGGACTTGCGAAGGGCTGTAATGATGATGATGATAATGATGAAATTTTAAATAACAAGCAAATTAATTTTATAAAGAATTAATGTAAACATTAAATAAAAATCAGCAATACTTCAAAAGAAAAAAGAAAAATTATGTAAATTCTGATAGTGTTGTTGTGTGCATGTGACTAACACATGACTAACACTCAGGCTAACAAAGAAAGATGACGAAGCGTTTCGCACATTTAAAGAAACATCGATCACCTCGATACTAAGCCAAAATCATCGCTTAATAACACAAAATCTACTGGCTGTGATGAAATACAAACAAAAATTTTAAAGAGGTGCCCAGGAAAAATAAGTCACTTGAAACGGAAATTTTTCCTACACAATAGAAATTCTCTGTTTTTTTTTTTTTTTTTTATAGGATCGGGTGACAAACGAGCACACAGTCCACCTGATGGTAAGTGGTTGCTGTGACCCATAGACATCTACATCTCAATAAAGACTCAAGATGCAGATACGTTGTCACCCGTGAGGACTAAGATGGAATGCCTCTTTGCCAGTAAAAAGGGTCTCCGGTTCTCTACACTCACCATACGAAACACAGCAGCGTTACGCTGTTATTGTACGCTGGTTTTCTGTGAGAGCGTGGTCCTTCCCCGGTTGAGCCGACCCATTCGTGCTACAACCATAATATAGCTGCAGTATGGCTCTACCACGTACAAAAAAACACGTGTTTTACCATTGCATAAAAAAGCGATAGAAATAACATTAATAACTATAGACCAATTACATTAATATCAATACTATCAAAATTGTATGAGAAAGTTATGCAAAAAAGACTCTTACAATTTTTTCATAAGTTTAACATATTAAAACCAGAGCAACATGGTTTTCAAAAAGGAAAATCTACGACACTTGCTACTATTTACCATGTAAAAATTGTAACAGAATATATAAACAGAAAAATACCAATTTCGGCAGTGTATTTTGATTTGAGTAAAGCGTTTGATAGTGTTAGTCATGATATTCTCTTAAAAAAAAATTGAAGCGTATGGAATAAGAGGGCCAGCCTACTCCTGGATACATAACTATCTAACAGATAGAAAACAATGTGTTGAAATACAACAAAAAGATATAAAACGGCAGGAAATTTTAAAATTTCAATCTTCATACATACAAAATGATTACGGAGTGTCGCAAGGGAGTGTTTTGGGTCCTTTACTTTTTTAATTTACATTAATGATCTACCAAATTACATTAAATATAACACAATATTATTTGCTGACGACATTTCTATATTAATACCAAAAATAAATTTTAATTCTAGTTGTAATAAAAAATATGAAAATGAAATAAATAATACAATTGAAATTTTTTTTTTACAGAATAGGGGGCAAACGAGCATGCGACTCACCTGATGGTAAGTGACTACCGCCGCCCATGAACAACCGCAACACCAGGGGAATCGCAGATGCGTTGCCGGCCTTTTAGAAAGGTGTAAGCTCTTTTTTTGAAGGTTCCTAAGTCGTATCGGTTCGGAAAATTCGCTGGTGGTAATTGATTCCACAAAGAAGTTATGCGAGGGAGAAAACTCCTTCTAAATCGCACAGTGGCGGACCGCCAATCATCCAGATGGTATGGATGGTAACGCGAGTTTTGTCGCGATGTACGATAGTGAAATTGAGCGGCTGGAATTAGTCCGAACAATTCCTCAGAGCACTCCCCGTGATAGATGCGATAAAATACGCAAAGAGATGCAACATCTATACGCAGTGCCAGTGTATCGAGCCGATCGGAAAGAACTCGGTCGTCGACGATTCGAATCGCTCTGCGCTGGATGCGGTCAAGTGGAAGGAGCTGGCACTGGGGTGCCCCGGCCCAGAGATGAGAACAGTATTCCATGTCGGGCCGAACTTGCGCTTTGTAAAGTTGCAAGCGATGTGCCGGCATGAAATACTGTCTCGCGCTGTTGAGTATGCCAAGCTTTTTAGAGGCCAATTTGGCCTTCCCTTCCAAGTGACCACGAAACTGCACGCTATTCGATATGTCGACGCCAAGGATTCCGATACTGGCTGAGGCAGCAAGGGGAGTGCCTTGAAACTGAGGAGATACGACAAAGGGGTTCTTTTTAGCGGTAAACGCGCAAACTTGTGTCTTCTGGGGATTGAACTGGACTAGATTTAGTCGGCCCCAATGCGAGACTTTGTTAAGCAAAGACTCGACTTCAGACACAAGTTTGTCCCGGTACTCGGCGACGTTTTCCCGAGAAATATTGGCACGGCCGGTATATAAGGCATCCCCAGTGCTGTCGTCTGCATAGCAATGAATGCTACCAGTTAGCAACATATCATTGATATGCAGGAGAAACAGCGTTGGTGATAGCACGCAGCCTTGTGGAACACCAGCGTTGATAGGCTTGAAAT